CCCCATTTAAAACTACATTTACTTTATAATTAACAAGCATGTGATAAATTATTTGTATTTGGGGCAAAATCAATATTGCTTAGTCTATTGACACTGATTTATGAAATGATATTTTTGAACTAACAGGGGGCTTGAGTCAACAAAATAACTAGAATAACTTAGGAACAGTTGCTTATATCTGCATATTTACAGTTCAACCTAACCAACTATTGCAACTCTCTGAAAATGGTTAGAAGCTCATAAATTAATTTTCAGTCCAAAACATCAAATGGTTAAACTTGAACGCGATGTAATATCATGACCGAATTTCCTAAAGATGTGTTATTTTTTGTAAGCTAACAGCATGTGTTTTTTTTCTGTGTTGGTGTAATGTACTCAAGTGAATATGATGCTTGTGATGTTACTCTGAGTGTATATCCACACCGGGCAAGCTTGAATATCCACACCGGTTTCGCTTCCCACCGCTTCCAAACTTGTATATCCACACCGGGCAAGCTTCCCACCGTGGTCAGGCATATTTTTCAAGCTTGCCCGGTGTGGATATACACTCAGAGTAACATCACAAGCATAACAGCATGTGGTCGTCATTGAATTTCACATAATTCAGTTGTTTTCTAGACGTCACTATGACTCAGCAAATGTTACTAGTAAGTGCTAGGCTGACCATTGCATTGCAAATTTTTTTACAGGTCAACCAAGGATAGATGCATATCAATTATGTGCATAAATTAATGGCAAATAATGAGAGCAAATTATGTAGAAAAATTGCAGCTGAATATTGTTTAAGGAGAACTTATGTTACTTTACAGAAAAAAGTTTAATTTATGTTCCTCCTGTAGTAACACTAGATTAATTGAGTATATATGTAAATCCTTACTGTATCTCTAGAGAGAACAGTTTAGAACTGATAGAGCTATCTAGTGCAAGTTAGTTTAAAATTGATTAATAGGTTTCAGCCTCGGTTTAACATGCCCGTTATATATCTGTATAATTTATGCACTTCCTGGCAAAATTATGTAACTGGGAATCAAATTTCACATCCTTAATTCATCATTTTGCAAACATTGCAAATTTTATTTACTTTAGAGGAGTTTATGCTAAAGTTATTTTTTTACATTAAATGCAAATTCACCTCACAATACCTCGAAATACCTCAAATTTTATAAGCCTCTTTTCTACTTTATAGCTAATCATGCACGTTGTTTATTAAGGTTATCTAAAAACACGCGACAATATTGCAAGCTTGCAGCTTAAAAGAGTATAATTACCTCGTCCCCCCATTTCAAGCAGTCGTTTTCTCGTTCTTTAAGTCTGTCGACAATATACAGGAGTTGTGTAATGCCATGATGACGAACGTGGTCAGCATACTTCTTTGTTTCTGGCCATGAAAGTGGAGAGCCTTCAGTGAGTAAACCCATGTTTTAAGATGACAACTTTGATGTATTTGCAGCGAAAATACCCTGCCTTTCTTCTGCAAACGACCACAAGCTATGAACAGGTTAAAAAGCGTCTTTACTTGGGGTGTGGCTAACAATTAGAGCACAAAGTTACATAACAGTCTTTAAAAAACCCCTACCTTTTCGTGACGTCTCTTGGCCTCAGAAGTCAAAGTCTATTTGTATTTGCAAAAATATATCACCCCAGTAGCGGATTGATGCACTTTAATCTGTAAAACAGTTATCAGAATATAGATCTATGGATATTGCTTGTGCCACGATGTGGGCATGACTATTTTTAACAACAAACTCGCTTCGTTATGCCGTAATACTCCTGCATGCAGACGCCATGTTGTCAACTTGACATAATTAAAATTCCATTTCACGACTGCCAGGGGGGGGGGGGGAGAAGTACGAGGTTTCTTAAAAAACGGAGCACTAAACACGAGGATTTGTATGCGAAAACATGGAATTCGGAAACTCGTTCTGGTGTAGTCTAAAAAAGAGCCAGTCACCAAACTAACTAAACTGTATCGACATTGTGCTGGCAAATAAGTATCGACATTGTGTTGGTGGCAAATCTATGTACGTGACGGAGCTGTTTTGCATAAGTTGTCCCCCCCATGAAGTGTCTACGAATCGAAAGATAAAACTGATTCAAGGACCTTTTTTACAGACTTGTAAACTACCAAGTCGTTTGTGTATTACCAGATGGCTTTACTTATTGCAAAAGCAATTTAACTATAACTTAATTTGTACATAAGCATGTCTATACATGATGCCAAATGTTAGTTAAAGTGACACTGACCCAAAATTTGATATGTGTAACATTCTGGTCATTCTAAGGAAAAATGTAATTAATATTTGTTTATAGAAACCCATATAAATAATAGATATCTATTATTTCTCTGTAAAATCTCGTCTTGATCAACTTTTTGACTGCCAAAGTTGCCGGATATGTAGTCTGCGGAAACCAGACGTCATTCCCGACGCTCGTTCTTCGCTTGGAAAGTTATATGACGTCATTAGATGAATTTTCGGAGCAGAAAACAAAGATAAAAAAATTTCAACTCGTGTATGAGATGATATTCAGCAACTTTATCAGTTTATCATTTTTTGACAGATAAGATTTTTTTCACAATAAAGATATTTAACAGTTCTTGGTTTTTGAGCAAATGCCGCCAATATCAGATTTATTATTTTGGTTTCGTTGTCAACGACCTCTTCAGAATAATACACCTATATTTATATGTACATGTCTGGAGTAACAATGAGCTACAATATCATAAATCGACTTTCACCATTTTTTTCTCTGAATTGTATGGCGCAAACTTACGTAACCCAACCTGTCAACACTTTCCCTTTGGGAGAAAAGCCACGATTTTCGGCAGAGTGTTGACTGACTCTTTTCACATGAGTCCGTAGCGAGAATCGAACCGACGAACTCAGAGGTGAAGCCACTTCATCCAAATATCAACACATACCAAAAATCATAAATGGGTTTAGTGACACTTCAAATAACGTGTTGCACCTCAATATGGATATAAGGTTTAATTTATATACTGGACTACCAACAACGTAACTATATACAATATTCCAGGCAGCGTTAATAGACAAAACCTAACTTTCGAAGTTTAGAAAGTTGTTTCGCAAGTTTTCTTATCGAAGGTCTTCGCTCGTTCGTCCCAGTCGTAAACGATTTCTCTAAAACTGAAATAAAATAATTCGTCACAATAATCGTCAATGAGGGAAAATAATTGCACATATGTTTTGTAGAGTGTAAATTTTATACTTTTGTTAAAGGAGAAATTGTGAAACTAATGCAACTTTTGCCTCTCTGGCCGGAATCGAACCTATAGCTGGGTTTGAGTCACGTAATAGGTTTAGCGCTTGGGTGGTCAAGTCCAAATGGAAACATATTTATCGGATCGAGTTACTAAAATATTCATTATAAGTATTGATCTTGTGTTGGGTATCAAATATACGCAAGTTAGCGACATTTACTTGTTTCCACAAGACATAAAGTGGTAATACAGCAGTGCCGTAGCAAGCTCGATAATTGGGGGGGGGGGGGGGG